CACCTAGTTTGATGCTGTTTCCCCATCGCTATGTCTCCCAGTGCGCACCTCAGTATGAGCGGTGTCTTTCCCCTGTGCAAAACTCATGGCCGAGGAAGAAGTTGCTACTTAATTACTGCAGATGGCAGTTCTCTTTCCTGTTGAATAGACTGAATCTAGTTAATACATCTCCCATTTTCTGCTTATGGATGAAGGCTCTACAGGAACAAAACTGGCATGTGAATAACTGCGCAAGCTTGGTTATAGTGGTAGCATTTCAGAATAAGGCTGGCTGCTGTAATCGGCCATTTCATTTCTTGGTATTTGCTTTTGCCAGCACCTGCAAGCATCTGGACAGGACTTGAAGCCTCAACATTGAAAATGCTCTGTAGGCTGGATAACGACAACAAGCTTGTCCATCTGTCCTCTGTAAATAAGGATTGGAGGAGGGAGGCTCCTTTGTCAGTCTGGGCAGATACCGTATAGTGTGTTCGCTGTCTCTGCATTACTGCGACTCATAGAGGGCTGGGATGTTTTGGGCAGCATTTTGAGGCAAGCATATAGGTTGCAGTAGTGGACCATTCTTTAATATTGTTTTATTCTCTGCTAGAGGGACAGTCCCTGGCGTTGAGGAGTTGGAGGGTATAGCTTTCTCGGAACTTTTGAGACCAAAGGATGAGACAGGACTGCTGATGTTGATTACTGTGGGTTGTGTGAGGCTTAGAGAATGCTTATAGGGGCTGAGAAGGCCACTTCTTGGTTGCTGAAGAACTTAAGCTGTTCCTAGTTTGTCTTAATTTTATGCTCTAGGATGGTAATGTATAATTTTTTTTTTTCCTTTTCTTCTCTTCCTTCACAGCACAAGAGGCATGGAAAGGGAATTCCTGCATGCTTATTTTCTTCAGAAATGCTCACCCCCTCCTTCCTTCACTCCTCTCCAAATTTTTGCTTGCTACAGCTGTTCCCTAGCTTGTGATTGGGAGAAAAAGTTTAGAGCCGTAGTTCCCTAATTTCACTCCTGTGATCTACCAGCTCTTGTCAGATGTGTGTGTTAGAGTATGAAGATTCGCTTTGGTGAGAAGGGCCCAGACAGTTATTTTCAGGAACCGCTGAGAGTTCTAATCTCCATGAGCTCCTGTCTAAGGGCCTTGTGTGCCTCTCTAATTATCCAAGAGACTTGGTCCAAAAGTCCCTGTCATTGCCTCACTACTCTTGCCTCTTCTGCATGAGGTCTAACAGTGATTACTTGGCTCTGCCTGCACAGAAGACGTCTTAAAAGAGCAGTGGTAAGAAGGCAAATGAAGTGGGGAAGGACATGAAATCCAAGGTGTAAAGGTAAAGAGGCTCTGGAAATTTGCAACCTAAACCACCTTGCGAGAGCTGGAAGGATCACCGAACAAAGAGATCGAACTAAAGGGATCACTGAACAAAGTAAACAGGCTTCCGGTGTGTCAGCGTTTCTGGACAAGAAACTATCATTAGCCCTTTTGGTAGCTGGCAGTGCTAAAGGTAACTTAGCAGATGACCTTTTGCTGAGCTGGTTCTTGAGCAATTTCGGAGATAGCCATTAAAGGTGGTTCTGTGCTTCTCTATGCATCAGAAGGCTAGTGTTCATTTCCTGGTCAAAATCTCCCTTGGGTATTTTTATTCTCCATTAACATTCCTTCTGGGGATTGGATTTGGGTCCTGTGCTTCCTGTGCCGTTCCCGCTCCGATGTCCATCAGCTGTTGCGTTCTGTTCCAGAGCACGTTACATGTTAGTGATGTTAGAGCAGTGTTTCCTGTGCAATGCGGAGCTGTTGTGGCTTTTATAAAAGGGTTAGGGAAGTTAAGCTACTCGTGACACACTGGAGAGAGTGAATAACAAAACACACATTTAAGGATGTGGAGCGTAACTGAAATAAGGAGACTGGGATCTCTGTATTGTGGAAGGAGGGAGAGGGACCATGAGGAAAGTGTGATTCTGATTCACTTTTAAGGGACTTCCGCAGGGTGCATGGGTATAAACAGACACATGATCTATCCGGTGGTATTTATGTTCAGCAAGAACTATGTCAGACTGTAGAGTCTACTGATTTCATTTACTTTGGAAATATATTAGGTGCTAAGTAGGGTTTATTACATGGCCTGTTGTTCAACAGCTAGTCTGATCCCTTTTTCTTGATGTCTCTTGGAATCATTCCCATGCAGGGAACAGAGCTTTCTGCCTAACGATCAAGTTTAATTGGTATGAAAAACCAGGAATGAGCAATAATCCTCCTGAAACTCAGTTTTAATCCGAGAGTCACTATAATGCTATTACTCAGACCTGAATTTTGAGCATTAACATGCCTGATCCAAGCAGAACTAGAATGCACATTTTTGCGCTGGGAGTAGTTGTCCTTTTATATGAAGTAGAGCCTCGAAGTAGCCAGCAACAGAATGGATCTGAATGTATTATATTAGGATTCCTTCTCTGAATGAAAAGATGATCTCATTAAATGTTAAAGCGTCCTTTAATAACCTTGCAGTCCTTTTCCATCATACTTGGCACCAGCAGTCTACAGGGGCTGCTTTTAACTTCAGACAGACCGTTCTCTCCTGGACAGAGGCTCTTGATGCAGTTCTTCCGTCATCCATCTCACTGATGAGTTGTCTTGAGCATGTTTGCTGCAGCAAACATGCTCATGTAATCTGTCCTGAGACACATTGGGGCTAAGGTTGACCCTATCGCATAATAAGCACAGGAAGGCAAGTGAACAAGTCTCTCTTGCTTTTGCTTCTGATGATGCTAGTGGAGTGAAATTGTTACTTCCTCGAGCAGTATGTGCCACACTGCTGTATTGAATATGTATGCAGAATATAGGTTGACCCAAACAGTGAAAATTCTGGATTAACTGTGGTATTTAGATACGTGGTACAGAACAGTAGCAGCATTTTTCTTTTTTACTCATGGGTATGGGGGTCAGAGTGTTTCAGGGTACTCTGACTTTGTGATAGCTAAGGAATGTTTCTCTAGTGTTGCACTAGAAAAAAATATGGCTCTGACTGTGCTATGGAATGCATTTTCTCTTATCATTCGAGTTTATCTTCCTGAATGAAAAGTAAGATTCAAGAAATACCACCTTAAAAAAGGTGCTATTTTAAGAGGAGAAGGCTGGAAAGATGAAGCAATGACTGAAATGAGAAACATTTTTTGCAACATAATCACCATGTTTCTTTTGAGGAAGGGAGACGGCTGAGCCTGAACACTGGTAAGCAGGCTACTTTTTAGGGGCAGAAAAGACAACACAAGAAAAAGTGATGATGGAGAAAACCCTGGAGGTCCTTCTCTGCCTCTTTGCAGGGAATGGTCAAGTGCTGCAAAAGGAAGCTGGCAAAAACTGGGTGCCTCCTAGTCTGAGAGCCAAAGCCCATATATATTAGTTACCTGGGGGCTTGAGGGACTTGCCAAATGTCAGGAAGATGGAAGGTATCTGGAAGTGTCCTTTTTTTTTTTTTTCCAGTGCTTTTGTCCTTTTGTCCAAAGGGTCCCCTTTTGGCCTTTTTTTGGTCCCTTTTTGGGTGTGTTGTGAGGAGCGTGTTTTCTATTGGAAACAAAGTGATGCAGGTGATATTCATGCAAAAACCACACTACCCAAGTGGTTGTTAGTTCTGTGGCTCCTGTCCAGAATAGTCTAAGCAATTCTATGCTGTATCGTATGGGTTCCTGATGTGTGATAAACATTTTGCCTCTTTCACACCCCACAGAGAATGTAGCCATTCTGCAAGTGGAGAGGGTGGATTTTGCCATGAGGGATGCTCTCTGATAGAAAAAACTACAGGCGAGTTCATATACTCAGAAGATGAACTGCACTCTGCCACTGTGAAGGGGAAAGAGGTTGCATGTTTTCTCTCTTTAAGAGGGAGTGGAGGATTCCTCAGCTCTTTGCATTAACAAAGCAAGTTGTTAGTTTTCTTCTGGAGTCTTCTGACCCACTGTGTGTTTGTGTCCGTTTGCCCGGAAGACATGACCGCTGCTGACTGATCAGTGTGAGCCCAAGTCTTGTAGCCTCATGCAAGCTATTCCAGTGAAGCTATATCTGTCGGTTAGCTCAGAAGTGATACCGGAACTATTCTAGGCAGTACCTAGAAGAAAGTAGAATTGGAGCTACTGCAGACAGTAGCTGGCTAGGACTGTAAATGTTCGAGAGCATTGCTTGCTGATGAGAGATGGAAAGTGCAGATAAAAAGGCACCAAGAGATTAAGTTTCCTATTGTATTACAGTGCTAATTAGAATGGTCACAGACTTGATGGAAGAGCTGCCTCCAGCTATAGCTTCGGGCTAAAGCTGAGTTGCCCTGGAGTAGTCAAAATGTGGACTTGACTGCAAGCTCCTGAGCTTGGTGATTGCAGAGCAGAATTCATGCATGTTTCTATTTCTAAGTATTAGCTATATACTTTTCTACCTTGGAGCAAAAGGTCTCTCTGCTCTGCAGAGAACGTCTGTCCTTTTCTGAAAGGAGGTGTGTGGAATGGAGCCACCTTGGATTCTCTCTCTCTCCCTGATCTATGGTAGCAAAGAAAGCCCAGGTGTTCTGACAGACAGAAAGATTTTAACTGTGCTGGTTGGTGGAGGGAATTCAGGAGAAAGAAATCAGCTGGGTGTAACACGGTGGTTGGGGCAGAGTGACAGAAGCTGAATTCCTAGTGTTGGATGAGAACACAAGTGGGGAAGCAATGACCCCTGTAGCCTTCCTGGAAAAACTGCTGCCTTTCTGAGACTGTCTAGCAGCCTGGCTGCAGGAAGCCACGCTTCCAGTCTGCATAAGCATCCTGCTCGGGGGAGGGAGGGATGGTTAAAAGACCTTCCCTTTCTGGGGCACAGTGGAGACAAGGAGCTTGTTTCACTGGAAGGTCCTACCGTCAGGTAGCAGCCTGATGGTGTAGCATTTTGCTACTGACTCCTGCCCTGGCACCTGGCTGTAGGTAGCTCTGCGCATGCTTGTCTGTTTGCATGTGTTGTACTGATAGGTGACTGACACCAAGTTTCCTTTCTAAGGTTTCAGGAGCTGCTGGCCAGACACTGCTGGATGCTAACAGGGGAAAGCTGCCTCGGAGACAAGTGGCCAGAGATGTTTGGACACATCGTCATGTTGTATCTGCAAGCCCTTAGTTAAGGGGAAGTTACCTGGAGTGGACTGTGAGTATTTAAGTGTTTCTGGAGATTCTCTGATTATGGGGATAGATTTCAAATCCTGGTATCTCTCCCAGATACGTGGGGATGAGATGGCAAGTAGCAGAGTTGCTAGGTACTGGGCAGGAAGCAGGACAGTCCTGTTTGAGCCTGAGGAACTGTATGCTGAGAGACTGTGAAGCCTTTGGTGTGTTTGTTCTGAGTACTTCTGTGATGGAAGCATGCATAGACCTGTGAGGGCAGCTGTTCCTGGAAGCCTCTGCTTGTCTGCCAGCCTGTGGCTGGTGATGTTGCCTTGATGCTGAACCAACTCCTGGGAGTTGGTGGAAAAGCAGGTTCAAACTGCACTGACCTTGTCCCTCCTGGAGTTACGCATTCTCTCTCTCCCTCAATTTACAGCTTTGCCCTGCGGAGGAGTTATGTGATTGTGAAGCTGTTTTTTCCTGTGCTAGTCGAGACCCGACTATAGCTCTGTAGTAAGGAAAGGGGCCAGACAGCTTGTTGGGGCAGGGCCAGCGCTGGGGCACCTCTTCAACTTGTTTTGGCAGAACTTGAGTTTGCATGGTCCCAGTTGCCTGCATTCACCTTCCTTCTGGCTCTCCCTGTGTGTGTACAACTGCTCCACACCCTGCACTCCTGTCCTGCCTCCCGGGGCTTGGTGCCATTGATTGGGGAAAAAGCAGCAGCAGCAGCAGCAGAAGTGCATCGGGGAAGCGAGGGCCCAGCTGCAGTCTCTCACATGCCAGTGACAGGGAGATGGCCATGGAGCTGGGCTCTTACAGCTAGCTCCCCAGGTCAATGCACTTTTCTTCTTGTAGTGATGGGTATGCTGGGCTCTGAACAGAGAGAAAGTTTGTTTCTGAACTTGCGTTGTGTCCCTAGTTGGATGGACGTTACTTTACAGCAGCCTATTAGCAGCAAGGTAGAGCGTGGCATGCTACTTGCTGGAAGTCAGACTGTAGCTTGCTTTCCTCTTTCTTGTAGAGGTGTGGGCTATCAAAGCTATAGGCGCAAGGATATAGCCTTTTGGCTCAAGTGAGAGTCTGGTAACTGCCAGCTCCTTTGTAGATACAGCATTAGCAGGAGCACTGACTTAAAAGGACAAGTGCAGTAACTGTTAGCATTACCAAATTCTATACCTAAGGCTTCACAGTTAGCATCCCTCTAGAGCAACAGGAGTAGGTTAGCTGTGAGGATCCCATCCGGCAGGAGATTTGTTTAGGTCTACCTGGAACCAAGGTTCCTTTGAAGCTGTTGCTTCCTGGATTTTGGAGCAGAGTTCTTGAGTGCCTTGCACATGTCTATGCCAGGTGCCTTTCCAGCTCTTGCTGGCTCCAGCTTCCCAAAGCTAACTTCCTTTACGTTCAGAAGATCTGTGGTGAGTTGGGGGCAGGGACTTGGAGTGGGATGAGCATCCAGTTGTCCTCTGCTATAAACATTCCCTGTTCCTTACATAATTGTGAGATGAGGTTTCAAACTGTATTTTGATGGATGCTAAGCTCTTTGTGTTTCTCTTCTTCAGGGCATCTGAGTGAGTGTTCTTGCTTCATGAGGCTTCACGTTTGAGCCCAGGCTGGTAAGTGCTCAGATTCTTGTGGGTTAGAGGAATTACAGTGGTTCGAGCTTGGGAGATCTGCGTGTGTGTGGCAGGAGTTGACAGAGAAGTCCCTCAGATCACCTGGTGAATGGGGTGCTGATAAACTTGCTTCTAGCCAGGATTTCAGCATTCCTCTTTGGAGAGGAGAAGCGTCTTCCTGGAAGGGCAGACTTAGCTGTTTTGTTTGGGGATACAGTGGAATGTACATTCGGTATGCTGGATGTTATTTATTTTTTTAAAGTATCAGAGATCCCTTCACCTACTTCAGTGCTTTTAGGAGAAGAGACCTTGAGGGAATGACTGCAGCAAAGGTGAGTTTTACAGGGTTTTGACAGAGAAGCTTTACAGGTTAGTTCTTAGAAGTTGCTTATGTCTGTGGAAAGGACATAAGAAGCTTTTGTGAACCTGTGTTTTTCAGCAGGGTGGAAGACAGCTTGCAAATGTTCCTGTGAGGCGTAAAGCCTGCTGTGGCTTGGAGCCCTGCTGTGCTACTTGCAGACACAGAACACATGCCAGTCCTCTCAGGGGGCTCAGTCTAGGTGTTGAAGAAGACACGGCGAGGCAAGAGCAGATGAGAACTGGAGAGGATTCTTGGGGCTCCATTTAGACACTTGACTTGTAAAACTTCACAGGCCGAAATGCAAAGCAGGCGAAGTCTGTCGGGTCACTGACCTGGTGGTACCCACTGGTCTATAGGGAGGGTCACAATGGCCTGAAAGGAGCACAGGTGGGAGTCAAATGGTCTTGCCTGTAGAAGAGGGCAGGGGGTGGTCTGAGTTGAGGCGGGTCCTGCACTTGGAGCGCTGCACTTCAGGCATTGAGGACTGCAGAGATGCTAGTCTGTGATCAGTGTTAGGATCCAGTAAGGGAAAGGGGTATAAGAAGTGGGCACTTATCCCAAATATAGATGGACCACGAATAAAGTATGTGTTGTGGTCAGGGGGAAATCTGGTATCAGGCCCTGCAGGGAGTGCTTGGCATCTCTGAGGCTTCTTGACCCTGCCTGGGGAAGTTTCTCTGCCCTCCACTGCAGTCTCGAGGTGGTAGGAGGAAGAAGATTCTTCTATGCCTACAGATACCTGCTTTCCTTCTGCCCCATTTTTGCTCCTGTACTGCACCTGCCCGTAAGGAATCCTCCTGCCCCTCACGACTAGGATGAAGGGGCAGCAACTAATATGGTCTTTTTCTTAGCAGTACTGCTACATATTGCAACATCTGACGTTGGGTCCCAACATTAGTGGCGTTGCTCCCTCATTTGACGCCATCTGTGACTTTGGGGTCTTCTCTCTGTTTTCTGGCAGAATGAGCAGTTCTAAAGGTGTAGTACCTCCTTCTGACAAGCCTCCGGGGCTCTGCCCCACTTAGGTTCCAGTGTAAGCTAAAAACTTGTGGGGTTTAAGCAGTTTAATGACTGGAGTCTCCTCCCACGTAGTCCCTGTTGACAGTGACAGCACATGATCAATACCTCCTGCCCCAGCCGTCACTGCTGCCTGTAAGGCTTGTAGTTTCCATATTGGAAAAGGCCTTTCCTAAAGAGCCTAATCAATATGCTGCTCTGAGGCCTGTTCTCGTTTGCTATATATAATCTGGACACACACAAACTACGTGAGTGAGCATGTGCAGAGGGGGGGAGAGGATGTGCCAGCCCTCTGCTCTCACCGGCTGGGAGAAGGGCACAGCTATCTCTTACTCCGCTCCCCTCTCCTGCAGCTGCTGCTCAAGGCCTGTGGCCACCTCCTTCCCTTACTCTATTAGTACCCTGCATGGCGACCTGCCCTAGGACTTCAGGGGAGCTGATTTCCTGCTGGGTAGCTTCTGGGGTTTGATGGAGCACCTGCGACTCTCTCCTCTGTGCCCTTTCTGCTGTTGGTAGGTAACCTGCTGTCGGAGCCACATAGGTGGGAGGATGTCAAGCACAGCTCCGTCCAAGAAGCCTTACCGCAAGGCACCCCCGCAGCATCGCGAGATCCGCCACGATGTACCCATCCTTCGTGACGACCAGGATGGTGTGATCTTGGCTGAGCAGAGTCAGGTAACGGATTGCCGGGTGGCAAAGGGCTTAGCACCATTACACCAACAAACGGGGTTTAGTTACGCCAAGGCAGGCCAGCTCAAGCAGGCGGAGGGGTTTGAGCTTTGCAACCTGAACTTCTCCTCATTGTGGTCTCTGGAGTCAAGCAGTGAGAAGGAAGTGACAGGTTGCAGAGCAGAGCTGAATATCAAGAGCCGGACTTTCTCCCCGGCACTGCTGCAAGGTGGAAAGATGGGGCAGCGAAGTGGGAAGCGGTGCCCAAATCACAGTCATGGACGCCTGAGCAAGTTTGTGAGCCGTAGCATGGAGACAGTTGTGGTATCTGGAGAAGAAAGACACCCTCCCACTTGCTCTTTCAAGAGCAGAAGCCTGGAGCGCTCCCTTATGTTTAAAGAGCCTCCTGAAGTCCTGACACCGAGGAAGTTCCGAGTCTCCTCCACGCACCTGCCTCTCAAAGGGATCCTGAAGCAGACTGGCATGACAGGCCCGCGCCCTCGCCCTGAGAGCTTACGCAAGTCCCGCTCAGTAGAGACGCTTGCCCGGGTCCGTGGCTCACGCAAGTATAGCGATCCTCAGCTCTGCCACAGCCATAGGGAAAAACACTCCCTGGAGCGCAGCAGCAGTGGTGCCGCTGACTCTGTCAAGCGCAAGGAGAAGATCACAGAGGAGAAGCTGCAGTTCTCCAAATTCCTGGATGAGATTACCCACCGAGTGCTGAGTCCCATCCGCTTGCGCTCACTGGGAGAGGCCAGAGGAGCAGAGCGAGACCGAGACTCTCCCCCTTTCCCCAGAGGTCCTGTGCCAGAAGGCCAGGGGGAAGGTCACCTGGAAGAGGTTAAAACCAATCATGCAGCTGAAAGATCCTCCTGTCCAAGCAGAAGAAAAGCAGAGATGAAACGTGAGGGGCTGGAAATGGCTTCCTGCCAAAGAAAGCGTGCTGAAGAAGCTGAGAGAGTTTCCAGACTAAGAAAGAAACCTGTCCTGGGGAGAAAGAACAGTAAGGAGAAACTCCTTTCCTTGGAGAGGAGAGTAGTAGATCTGTGTCAGTATGATCTGCAGCAGCTAGCAGAGCTGGGGCTGGCGGGGACATCGTCTGGGCAGCAGCACTCACTGTCTTCATGGAAAAGCAGTGCAGAGGGCAGAAGAGACAAGACCAGCCCGGGTTCACGGCTATTACAGCCACACCATCTGTGTACTAAACTTGGCCAGAAGCATGCAGTGGAGTTGAACTACCCAGAGAAAGGATCCTGCTCCCCTCCAACACGCTGGAGTCAGGGGGAGGGGCCTTCCCCATCTAAATCCTCCCCTTCCTTCAGCCTAGTGCTAAACAAGGTAGGTGCCAGGGCTACTGGCTTGCAGACAGAGGTCTCACAAAGGCCAGTGCCCCAGCCTGGATCTTGGTTTGTCTTTAAAGCTAGTGTGGGGAGTGAGAGCATGCCCCGAGACACTCGCGTTGTTCCCATCTCCCTGCGGTTGCTGGAGGATGACGTCTCCTTGCTCTGGGGAAACACAGTCAAAAAGCTTTCATTGCATCTGTGAGGATCAAGGTGTTGATTGGAGGCCTCACTTTGTTTGCTATGGGAAACTCTTTCAAACGAGTTAGGGGTGGGGAGAGAGAAGTTGCAAGAGCAGACTCCTTTTCTGCCCCTCAGTGGGGTTTGATAGCCCTTTAGTGGGCTAGGATAGCAGGTGATTTGCATGGGAGTACCAGTGCCGGTGTTGGTGAGCGGCCTGAGTGGGTGATTAATTCACCAGAAGCTGCTCTCTTTTAGTGCCACTCATGGCTGTGCTCCAGGTTGGGCATATCTTCCCAGGAGGGACCAGCATTC